CCCCAAAACCCCAAAACCCCGCTATGAAATTACTACTGAGGAATTGATACAAACCATGAAAATAAGAATAAATAAGTTAAATTATTCTCAATCAAATGATTAATCGATCTATTTTATACGGTTCAATTTTAGTGCCATTTCAAGTTCCCAATTAGTTTCAAGTCTATCCATATTCAGCTAGTGAATCATCTTTGCTTTAATTGTCCGTAGACTTTCAAGGAACTTCTATTGCTATTGTGAGTTTGGCATGAATGATAGCCTGTTGCATTCAAGTAACTTTTGTAGAGGAGTAGTGATTTGAGGCTATTATCCATTTGCATAGTGATTTTTCAGAGTAAGATTTAGTCTTTAATTAGTCCATTCTCTGCTAGCACTATTGAAGTTCCACTCTCGTTTATCAAGATTTTCCTCAACAGCCTCTTCAAGCTTCTGCTCATATTTTTACAAATCTGTTATATAATTATTCTATTGCACAGATATATACTCATCTAGTTGCTAGCATTAAAGAGAGAAGTACATATCATTTTAAATTCTGCGAGAATCAAGGATTACCTATGGGATATATTTCTGCTTTAGTTTATTGAACTCATTTACAAAATGGTTGTAACATTTACTAATTTATCTATACTCTGTGTAGTTTGACATCTATCGCTTTCTAACAGCCCTCTATATCATAACTACTTTAGCCATAAACCCACTTATCTTACTATAGTCTATAAATTAATTCCATGATCGAAAACGCTTTCTTATTCGATAAAGTGAATATGCTTTCTCAATAATTCTAGCTGCTCTTTTATGATTGATCAAATATATCTTTGTATCTAAATTTTAGCATCTCACCATATATTACCTATGTAGCTTCCAATACTTGAGAATGAAATTTTTGGCCTAAATTTTCTATTCGAATCTTTCTTTCCAAGCCCACTAAATGATCTTTGCTTAGTGATTTATCATAAAGTTAATGATCTCTTTCTTGTTAAAGTATCTCGTGAGATATGCATCTAGCTACTCAGAGATTCTATACTCATAACTTGATTACTGCTAGTGATGGAGACTTTTAGTGGGTGTCCGAAATTTATCATATATCTCCAAGTTCTATGTAGTCATACGGTTAAACATTGCGAATTTGTTTCGAACTTACATATTGCTAGTCCGCACCATTCGAGACATATTATTGTTTGAGAGAGATTATTTCAGATTAATGCTGCCCAAACTTTTGTTATTCAAGTCCTGCTAAGATTCATTGTTTGTTTCTTTGACAGTAAATGAAGCATGATTAATTATAATTTTATTAGTCTTTCCCTGAGATTGATTTCTATTTCTACCTTAGGCCATCTCTACTCTAGTTTGGCTGCTATGCTTTTGCATCTTTGGAGGTGAACTATTTAACTTAGCAATTTAAATCCTGTTATCTTAAGTCATTAAGGGATTATTTGTCATTGGTTTCTTCATAGTCTGTTCATGCTTATTTTTTCTAATAGGCTCGAGCAATTTCTTTTTTTTGTTTTAATACAATAGCTTTAGCAAGTTTTCAGCACTATTTCCTCTATGGCCAGAATCCTTACCAGATAATTAAGCCTAGTTTCCTATAGGAGTACTAACGCCGCTATTTAGATGCTAATGCTAAATAGATGGAAGTTGATTAAGTCGCTTAAGATTTTTTAAATCTAAATTTTCCAAGTATATCTACTGTGAATCATAAAGTGACTCAGTGGTATGTGTTGTTCCCTTTGATGATATATTCATTTTCTGAATCGGAGCTAAAACCTTAGAATTAGAATTAGTAGTGACTGCCTTTTAATTTCCTAGTCTTACAGTTATCATGTTAGGATCAATTTTACTTGTAACTTTAACCTAAGGAGTATTGTAAAAGTTCTGCATAGTTTGATTTCCACTTCTACTTAAAGTTACTTTGTGGCCTGTATTAGCTTTCAAAAGATCTGGATTTTAATCAAGGCTAATAGTTTGCTTCTTTTTCGTATTAGGAAGATTAATTATGTAATTAGTCTCTTTTATAAAATCTATTGCTGATTAATTTCTTCCTGTATTTAAGGTTGAATCTCTATTTCTAGTAAAATATGTTGGAGTGTCCTATTCAGACTGAATCTAATCAGTAATTTTCTTTTAATCATATTTATCCTTGTAGGTAGAAATTTGTTTAAGAACATGAACATTTTACTCAAATAGAACTTTGAAAATTTTGTCAATTTTTTTATTATGTTAGATTTAAACCTTCGATTAGACATTTGCTTTTTATATTAATTTTTTTAAGTTTTAATAATTTAGAATTTCGCTCTAAGTACTATTAGTATTGGTATTCCCAGAATTATTATTAGTGCTTGTTGTTTGAGCTGGTAGTTAGCCATTTATAATATTCTCATGTGCGCATTAAAAGTAATCCTTAAGTTCATTAAAAAATGCCTAGCGAGAGACCTAAACACAAATAGCAATGCAGACAGATGGATCCACAATGCATTCCTTGAGAGCTGCTTAGAGTATTCTCATATGCCTCTTTCTTGACTCCTTCATTTGCTCCATTTACTAACTATCCTGTTGAGATACCATAATCTCATTTAAATGAATTTCAGCATGTAGAAAATCATCAAAGTTCAGACCTTTAAATGGCTTTAGCATTTTTTTCACTGATTTCTGCAATTTCTTTATAATAGGCTTATCATCAATTCTTATATTAGCAGTCTTATTCAAATGAAAAGCCTCTACCTATTATCTTTAATTTTCTTTTTGTAGTATATTGAAGAATACTGTTGAATCAGTATACTTTGGCTTAAGTTTTCTGTTTTTAATGTCAATTATTTGTTTAAGAAAGTTCATATCCTCAGATCTGGATACTACTGGTTTAACAACCTCCTAAATTGTTTATATCAATCCTTATTTAAGATTAGCCATCTAATTCTGCTGTTTCTGTTGCTAAGGATTAACTATTTGCTGCTAGTTCTCCTAACTTTACTTTGTATTGGTTGCTTTTTTACCTTAAATTTAAGGCTGTTATGGTTAGAGAGGCAAAAGATTAGACGATATAATAGTAATCTACTCTTTCACAGCTTGCTTACTTTATTGGGATGCTATAGTATTCTAACTTTTTTTGAGCTTTGCTTTTTGTTTTGACTTGATTTGTAGTTTAATTTATTTTTCCTCAGGCTCAATAACAGCCTTATTAAATTGTTCTATTGTCTCTTCTTCAACTTATTACTAGGCTTCTTGCATCATTATCATTTGCTGTTAAATAAGTTCTGCCTAGTATTGCTAAGCTTGAGTTGTAATCACATATTAGTCTGATTCAGGAAATTCCTCACATAATTTAAGCGCTTCCATCATGATCTACTAATTCATTTACCCTTAACCTTATAAGAGGAGACCATTATTTATTTGGGTTATGTTAGCAGTTTAACTTAATAGAATCTTCTTTGGCTTTTTTCCTTTTGGAGTTTTTAAATTTCCTTGGGCATTATTGTAGTTGCCTACATTAAGTAAACCACCATTATGACTCATCATCAAAATGTTTTAAGCTTGCTTATTCAAGTTGTTGAGAATATTATTGTTAATTTAGCTCTACATACTTGGATTCAAAGTTTGAATATTACTGATGACTCCTTGTGGATTCCCCTAAAACTGATTACTTTTCAAAGTATTATTGTTGCTACTGTTTCCCATTTCAAGTACTGTTTTTGTTGAAACTCAGTGCTAGTTGCTTTTCGAAGATACATTTGAATTTGGTCCGTGTACATCTTAAGCCAAGATTGTGAATTACTATGATGCAGTATTTGGCTGCCCGCTATTTAGCGTGTTACCAGTTTGATAATTACTTCTTTGAAGAATATTACTCGCCGTAATCTATTTAAGCTTTTTAGGAGGTGAAAGACTGCTATTTGAGGGAAATATATTGATATGGTTGCCATTGTTCATCTAGTTGAATTGACCTCCGGGCTAATATAAATTCAGATTGGGATTCATTGAATTGAAGAACAAATTCTCAGAAACTAAAGTAGAACTTATCCCTTAAGCTTACTGCTATATAAGTTCATTATTCATTTTTAATATTTTTTATTCTATTAATTTTTATATTATTTACAATCCTTATTATTTTCATAAATTTTGCATCTTGGGGTTTTGGGGTTTTGGGGAGATCGGAAGAGCACACGTCT